TACATACTGCTATATTTCTAAGGATTAGCTCTATATTAAAATGGTGCTTAATATTAGTAAAATCTTAACAACAAATTCAAATATTATTTCCAAACCTTTCATATAAGTAATATATACTGGGCTTATATCGAACAATATATTATCTTTCGCAATGGCAATTGAAAATAATTCAATTTCTTCTACGTTGAGTGATATTGCATGATATTGCAATTTCTTATGAACCAATTTCCTTACTTGAATGGGTAACGGTAATGATAATAATAAAATTTCCATGAAAACTGATGCAAAATACATTGTGTAATGAAAATTAACTGGAAGTATGATGATACTGCACTATCAAAATTATAAAAAATGTTATAATATTTCTACTATTTTGTTACTCTCAGAATGCAAAACCAGTTAGAACTATTTCAGTTCATTATTTTACAAACTTTGAAAATATTCTCTGGCATTTGCAAAGCAACTTGATAGCAAACCAAAGATATGTACCACTTTTTTGTACTTAAATCATTAATTTAATAACAAATTTATTGGATTTTAATTTAAAAAAAAGATCTATAATAATTTACCTTATCTGTATATTTGTAAATAATTTATATAGAAAATGCAATATAAACCTATAACTTTAACCCAGAGTATTAATTGTGTAATATTTCAAATTCACTTAAAAATTTTAATTTGATTATTAGTTTTTTCTTATTTTACCATATGTCATACATTTCAGATAATTGTTTTGATTTAATTTTGCGTTTTTTGGAACATTGAACATATCACTCAATGTTTGAAGCTGATTTTATTTAAAACTAATTGCACACAAATACATTTTAACAGTTTTTAGTACCAAACAAGCAGCATAACAGCGTTGCCATTAAGGTTTGTCGGTTTTCAAAAACCGGTTTTTTGACGAAAATTATTAAATTCGAAAACCGTTTTTTTTAGCGGAAAAAGTCGGTTTCTACTCTATAAATAGAAAATGGCAAATATACTAAATGGAGCGTTTTGATACTTGGAATCATATCGGTTTCATAAAATTTAGAATCATATCAGTCTGTTATAGTTCCTAGAAAGGTTCTGTGTTATCTTTTGTCTAATGTATATATTAATTTAGATTATTATGTCAATGTATATTAGGGTGGTCCTTAATATGGACATTTTCGAATTTCCTTGCTCCCGAAAGCTCAAATGGTTCCAAATTGATGAAAAACAATTCTCTGAAAGTTTTAGCTCTTAATATTAACTTTTAGATAGTGCGCAATTCAATTAAACTTTGTATGAAAATAGCATGAAAAAATTTTTGAAAATTAAAAAAAAAATGTTTAGGTATAACTTAGCGACAAATGATTTGAAAGTGAAAATTTGTGTACATTTTTATTGAAAATTCGACGCTCCGCAAATTTTTTTAAAAATTTTTCATGCTCTTTCCATACAAAACTTTGATTGAATTGCGCTCTATCTAAAAGACAATATTAAGAGCTAAAACTTTCAGAGAATTGTTTTTTATGAATTTGGAATCATTTGAGCCCTTGAGAGCTAGGAAATTTGAAAATGTCCATATTAAGGACCACCCTAATGTATATAATAATTTAGATCAAAGCGACTTCTGGTTGGAGGGAATTGCTCTACTCAAACTTTAAAAAAAGTTTTTAGCCCTAATTAAAAAAAACATTTTCAAAATTATTATATCACGCTTCAAAAACAATTAAGCCTAGTTCGGTTGCAAGTGAGAGAGTATTTTCTATTTGGGAAAATTTTGTGAGTAAACATAGGACACTTCTAAATAATTAATTCATTAAACCAAATAATAATTAAATATTTGAAATTAATTAATTGAAATTGTTCGGAATAGAATAAACTCGGGGTTTGCTTAATTGTTTTAGAACTAAAATTAACATTAAGAAGTATGTATCAATATGTATCTAATATTTTTATTTAATTAAAAGTTAAAAATTTTTTTACTTAAAAATATATTATATTTATTAAATCCAACACTTTTCTTTCACTATCATAAAAATATTTATATTCTTATATGTGAAAATGATGCATGAATAACGAATAATCATTTTCAAAGTAATTTAATCCAGATCAACTATTATTTCTTTGTTCTACTAATTAAAATTAAAATAAATTTGTTTACTATTCATCAAATTGAACATTAAATAAATTCAGTCAAAAACTGCTTTAAATCACACTAAAGCCGATATTTTTTTTAATTACAGAATATTCGAACAAAAATTGATTTTTTAAATAAAATTTGAAAACCGACTTAAACCGGTTTTCAGGCAAATTTACAATTCGAAAACCGTTTTTTTTTAAATGTCGGTTTTTGTATAAGCTCTAGTTGTCATAACAACGCTATGTTACGGTCTATAAGTTCATAAATTTTTCTAATAGTATACTAATATATTTATGTAGATACTGCACAATATGCAAAACCACTAATTATAGGCATCTAAATTTCAATTAAAATATACCCTAATGTTATTTAGATCTTGTAACATAAATAATGGCATACAATTTTCTAAAACATATTAATTAAATTAATTATGTGTTTTTATTTCAGGTCATAGAGTATTTTACATAATTTCTGCAATGAATATTGTTGTGAAACATATAATACAATTTTATACAACAAAGTATTTGTTTTATCATTTTGAAGAGCAAAAGAAGGGTCAACTTGGCTTCTGTGGTATTTTTGAGGATCCTCTTTTCTTTATTTTTTATATCGATTTTATTATTTTTTTGGTATGTACATTGAACTTAGTTCTACTTTCCCAAGAAGCTTCAGACCCGTATAAATAGAGAACGAACGTCGTATATATAGTTAAATTTCTGGCAGTATTAGAAAACGAGAAGTAAAACAATTCGTTGTAATTGCATTTGATAAATACGTCATGAGAGGTGAATTTCTCAGCTTGAAATTCATCTTGAACAACTTGAAAACAAACCAAAGGTAAATGGTATTTTTCATAGATAAAGAAATGGTATTTTTCTTTCGAACTTTTAACTAAATGATTAAAAATTGATAACGTTTTTAATGTATTTCACTTTGAAAATAAGATTGATAATGGTATATATCACGGTTGTAGTAAAAAAATTTGCCTTCACATATTAAAAATACTAACGAGAATTGTTCTAGCTCTTCACAATTCATATTTCTCATATTTATCAATTGAGTTTTGCTTTGAAACCGATATTATGCGTGAATCAAATATTAATTTATCCATTTTCTAGCAAAATCTATTATTATATTAATCAAGTAAAAATATAAATTTATTTTTTTTCAAGATTAAATATTTGAGATATTTTGAATTTTTGAAAAAAAAATGACTTGGAAAAAAAATTCTTCTATATTTTGAACTATTTTGGAAATTTTGAATTTTTTTTTAAAGCAATCGCGCTGCTCTAGCTGCATAGAGACGAAATATTGAAGCGCGTAGGCGCTGCGTCGCAGTCAAACGGACAAACGATGTTACAAAAACCATAAAAATGTAAACAAAATATATACGTATTATTAAAATCTCCATAAAGTATCTGATAATTTGATGTGCATATGTCTAATGAACATTTTTGACCGCCATTTGACATTTTTTTCACTAGATCTCCGAAACCGCCAGACCTGCCCTACCAAAAATGTAATCAGTACTTCATCTTGTCAATACAAGTGAAATGTTGAACGCTCCGTTCTCTCAAAAACTGAATTACAATTTTTGTTTTTTTTGCCCTGCCTTTGCCAAAAAGTAATCAGCTCGTCTTTTTCTTAATACAAATCGAATACCTTTTAATTATTCAAATCGGTTGATTCGTATTCCCGAAATCGTAATCGAAAAATTGTATCCGGACACACACACATACGCTCATACATTCATACATTCATTTAATTTTTTCATTCATTAATTTTTTTTAAGGTATGCCAAATTGTTCAGAAACCTCTGAAACGTAAATATATATAAAAAAGTTTAAAAAATTTCGATTTTTTGCAATTACTATAATTTATCCTAAGGTAAGTTAAAAAAAGGGTCAACCTTGCTTCTGTAGTATTTTTGAGAATTCTCTTACTTATCGATCTATCCGATCACCTAGTAGTCAACTTAGGACTTATTATACTATTATATAGGATTCCTAAGAAGCTCCAGACCCATATAAAGAGAAAACGAACATCGTATATATAGTTAAATTTTTCAGCAGTATTGAGCAGCACGAGGTAAAACAATTCATTGCAATTGCATTTGATAAAGACATAATGAGAAGTGAGTATGTGTGAGTCAACGTGTTTTGAGAATAAATTCCATAACATTTCTCAATCAGCTCGATAGCAAACCAAAGGTAAATGACATTTTTTGCAGAACTTTTAATTGATTAATATTTATTACCTAATTAATAAATGATACTGTAATGACCATGTCATATGGATATATATATATATATATATATATACACTTTGTATAGATATTTTGTACGATCTGCCTGTCCAGGTATATAAAATTTATATTAAAATTTGAATAAAAATAAAAAAAGTTATTTAATTTAAAAACATGATTGATAATAGTTTATATCTATATTATAATTGAAAATAGCCTTCACATATTACTGAAACGATCTGAGCTAGCTATTCACAATACACACCTCTTAACTTATTAATTGGTTCTAGAAATTATTTAATTGCTCTGAAACTGCTGACTTTTAATGCTCAAATAAAATATCAATTTGTTAATTTTCAAGTAAATTCTATAAATATATAATAATTAAGTTGTAAAATATTCAAATTCATATTCAAACATTTAATTTTGATAAACCATCAATTATAACGAGCCAAAAAAATTTTTACTAATTTTTCACTTAATATTTATTTGGATGTTCATAATGTGTAAAACCAGTATCTATATGCGTCTGAATTTTGATGAGAATAACTTTTACGGTATTTAGATGGTAAATTTTTCAGCATACATAACTTATTCGTAAAAAATTTTTCAAAACATGTTAATTTCCAAAAAAAAATGAATTTAATTCTCTGATTTCATTTCAGGGCACAGACTAGTTTTCATAATTTCTGCAATGAATTCTTCAGCGGTTATATAGCCATTCTGAAACAATTAATATTTATTAACAAATTTCATTAATATAGTATAAAAATAAAAGTAGTCAAATTTTATTACTACCCCTTGAGTATCGGCGTCGTCTAACATTTCTTGCAGTTGGTCGTTCGTAGCATCTACTCCTAATTCTTCTGCAACTCTTTGCATGTTCTCCAATGTAATTCGACCAGTTTCATCGTCATCAAATAAACTAAAAATTATTATATTTTTGTTTCAAGCAATATATTCCTGTACTTCAACTAATTTATGTGATGAACGATAATTTGTTGATATTTTTACGTTTTAAAATTTCCTACTTGGGCATGTCTCAGAAATAAATATTGTATGTATTGTGGATGATTGAGCATTCTCCCTGTGACAAGATTTTTTTATAAGATTTTCAATGTATTTATTAGATTTGTACTGCAACAATGTTCCTAAAGGGTTATTTTGGTGCTTTTAGATCAATACGTGATATGACTACTGTAATCTGATATGACTACTGCTTGATATCCAGCTGGGCGAGCCCGATCCAGTGATGGTTGGAACCACTAGTCTACGATCTTAACACGAAGCAATTTCATAATATCTATTGGTATTTTTAGACCAATTTGCTAAACAATTATGACTAAAGGTAATTTATTTACAATGGAAAATTAAAAAAAATCTTTTTACATATAATATCGTTTATTAGTTTTCAGTTAATAATAGGACACCGTGCAAAATGAAATAAAAGGCTTGCACCATCTTTAAAAGTAAGAATCAAGACTCAATAATAAGATAATAGGATGTTAAAATGGTTAGATGTGATATTACAGAAAAATTGCAAAAATGATAGAAGATGCTACAGTATATAAAGAGGGGAAAAAATGGTTTGAACTTTTTGTTGAAAAAAGGTAAGCATAAATAAGCATTTAAAAGATATAATAAATTACAAACCAGAACCAGAAAAATTTTATACATTTTAGGATAATATTTTAAAAAAAAACTAAGAAAGTGAAGCTAAAGTGCGGTTTGAAAAGTTGAAAAGTTTAAATCACGTGCGTGCGTTAACTAATAATTTAGGCCATAAACATTAAAATAAAATTTTTGAAAGTACACCACTTTCTGGAATATATGGTGCCAAAAAACGAATAATGTCATATTAAATAGGAAATGTTTGATGTTTCATTTATACCATTCCTTTTGACTATACAAATTATTTTGATGCAAAACTTAAAGTTATTAACAAAGCATTGAATTGTTCTTAAAATGACTGATTGAAAAATATAAAATTTGAATTTCTATTTAACGATCCCAAATAATTTTTGAAAGTTACTGAACAAATGTTTAAAAAAAGTTAACAGATGTTACACATACCGAAAAGATTTAAGGATATCTTCACGGTTGTCTGGTTCCATAATCTTGCGCTTCAAAAGTTCCTGAAATTCCGGAAAATCTAGCTTTCCCGTACCATCTTTCTCTACTTCGGCAGTCATTTTCATCATTTCTTCATTTGTTGGCTCATAACCGAGTGCACGGATGGCCACTTTTAGGTCTCTGAGCTCTATTGTGCCTGTAAAATTGATTTATAATTCGGTATGAATATTGATAGAATCGTATTACTTTTAACAATATATAAATATGTGGGTCAACATTAATATTCTTCCTATAAAATAATCTATCATTAGTCAGACATTGTTCATCCTGTAACAGAATGTTAGTTCCACATTGTTAATTCAGCAGCACACCACGTTTGTTACTTAAAACCAATGTCAAAGCCGAAAATGTTTAATAATATTGAAAAATCAATAATAAATATACGTGCATTGAGATATTATTTTTTCTTTTCCTGCGGCTAACTCATTGGAAAGAACATATACTCAGCAATCCTGTGTAATTTTTTCTATGATTTTATAAAAATTCAAATAGATATTGATAACCAAAAATTATTATTTTATTTGACCAGATAAAGAATTGAGTTTAGTATCTTTCAAACAAAGCAAAATATGATTGGAAAAAAAAGGAAAGCGATCTCAATAGAAACATTTCAGATAGAAAAATCAAATAATTTGATAATCCGATTTGAACATTTTTTTAGTTTTTTTCATCATTAAAATTAAGAGTCTACTAATCTTTATAAAATATAGAATTTCCTAAATTATTTTTTACCAAATTTAATTCAGCCTAGATTAACTTATCATATAGTACTCGGTTATAGTCATTCAGAACATGCTACTCAATTAGGCGCTAATATACGAACAAAGGCAAACTATGCGCCCGAAATATAATCAAAATGTTTATCACACAAATTGCCATTTTTTTTATTTTTCAATGTTACCTATTCCATGTTTATCAAATAACTCAAATGCTTGTTTCAAATCATTTTTTTGCTCTTCTGATAGCTGAAATGTAGGAATTGCATTGGTTGTTCGTTGGCCCGGCAAAAGCTTTCGTTTCAAGTCTTCTTTTGTCACAAGTTTTCCCAACTAAAATACAAATAAAATTTGTATTTTTAAATACTATGTTACTACGACTTACTATTTTCAGTAAATCATTGCAAATATTCTATAATATTATACCATACCATTTTTTAGGATTGGATCATATATACTTTGGGGCAGAAAAACTAATTTTTAATGTTTTGATTTAGTACAGCATTCAATTGTTTTAGAAATATATTTTATTAAAATGTCAAATAATTAATTTTTATTTGTTTCATCCGTGGATCAACTCCAAATAAGTAACAGTTTAGTTACATATATAATTAAACATATATTAAATATATCGCCCAACTTTTAAATTGCGCCGTAATAAATAATGCAAAAAAATATTATATTATTGCTTGTTATTTGAATTTTATTATTATTATATTAATATTAATTGTCAAAATTATTTGAACAAAATTTGTTTCAATTTTATTTTACTACATTCGAATAATTCTATATATTTAATGGAAGAAACCTATGGAAAAGACGTTCAATCTCATCACATGACTGAGAATCATTAAAAATATGCGAAAGCCACCCTGTTTTCTCAAACTGACCTTTTATCGATTTTTTTAACTGATTTTTTAACTGATAACGTGATTATGTATTCTAATTGGGATAAACTTATAACAAATAATGTTGAATAATTATTTAGTAGTGCATCATAGCACCTTATAATTGCATATATTTTGTTTTGTTCTTTTGGGCAACGCGCTTCTTTGGACTGCTTAATTCGAAAACCTGAAGATTTTTTTTATATCACCCAAAATATTGTTTTAAATCTATATGATAAAACATGTACAAAAGTTTCTACATCGGCAAGTAATAATTTTGTCATGTGGTTCAGGCGATTTTCCCTATTTTTACGGTCTTTGTTGGGTGTTCAAATCCCACTAGGGTATGAAATTTTTTAATTGATTTAGTGATTCATTTTTATAATCGATGATTTATTATATATATTTCAAAAAATAAAAATTGCAAACTAGTCACTAGCTCATTACATTTGTCTGTTAATTTCAATGAAACGGCTTCGCCGAAAAAGTGCCACACCCACATGAATCGAAAGGAAAATTGCATATATAGTTAAATTACTAGCAATACTAATATGAGGTAGATTCAGAAAATGGTATGGGATAATATTATAGAATATTTGCAATAATTTACTAAAATAGTTTTCAGAAATACATATTTTATTTGTATTTTTGTTGGGAAAACTTGACAAAAGAAGTCACATTTCAGCTTTCAGAACAGCAAAAAAATTATTTGAAACAAGCATTTGAGTTAAGTTTTTTATGCAATTTTAATAAACTGTATAATTCAATCTTGCCTTCGACTTCTATTGATAGGGAGGTGCTGATTAGTTTTTGGCAAAGGCAGATCTAGCCGTTACGGAGGTAAAGAGCAAAGAGTGCAGAAAATAGAAATCGAGTTTTTGAGAGAACGGAGCATCCGATTTGAATCATCTAAAATACATTGAATTAGTAATGATTGGGAGAACTGGCTATTAGTTTTTGGCAAAGGCAGGCCCATCCATTTCTAATATACAGAGCTACGTATACAAAAAATTGCAGTTTTGAGAGAAATAAGCATCCAAATCGAAGGATTCAAAAAACTTTCTGCTTGTGTTGACAAAACAATTGCTTTTGGAAGAGAAAAAAAAAATTTCAATTATTCTCTTTTTTTTGTATATCGAAAATAATTCAGATTTCAATTTATATACTAACTTTTATACTATCTTTCAATTTATATATTTTAATTAATTTAAATTAATTAACTTATATACTTTAAATACATGTTTTTGACTTTGTGATTTAGTTATTATAAATATTATACAATGTTACAGTATTTATAATAATCTATTTGAAAACATTCAATATTCCTCAAGCATTTCGTTACGCTGCGGGAAGTTTCAGCAATTTTCTTTAAGGCACGATGCCATACACCACTAGTTTTTTTTCGAACCGATTTGATGAACATGAAATAGGGATCATTAAAAAATCGAAGAATGTCTATTAAAGTGATAAACATTTTGATCATAATTTGCCTTTATTCGTATATTAGCGCCTAATTGAGCAGCAAGTTCTGAATGAATAACAAAGTTCAATATGATAAGTTAAACTAGGCTGAATTAAATTTGATAAAAAATAATTTTGGAAGTTCAGTAATTTATAAAAATCAGTTGGCTCTTCATTTGAATTATGAAAAGAACCAAAAAAAATGTTCAAATTGGCATTAGAGGTGCCTCTTTGCTAAGTCTTACCTTTCGAATACATTTTGGTATGACAGAGATAATTAGTTTTTTGTTAACGATGTTAACGTTATGAAACCATTTCTCTACTTGAGAATGTTTCTCTTAAACTAAACATCGTTAATTTTTTATTGTCCGTTAATCCAAAATATAATATATAAAAGCAAAAGATGGGTCAACCTTGCTTCTGCGGTATTTTTGAGAATTCTCTATCTCTCGACGAAATATGTGAATAATAAATTACTATATCTAAACTATGGTTTACCGAGAAGCTCCAGACCCATATAAACAGAAAACGAACGTCGTATATATACTTAAATTTTTAGCAGTATTGTCAAGCACGAGGTAAAACAATTCGTTGCAATTGCATTCGATAAAGACATAATGAGAAGTGAGTATGTGTGAGTCAACGTGTTATGAAAATAAATTCTATCACATTTCTCAATCAGCTCGAAAGCAAACCAAAGGTAAATGACATTTTTCTTTTGAACATTTATTTTACTTATTAAAATTTAATAACTTTATTATTTTATAACTTATAAAGTTATTATTTAATAACTTTAATGTATTTTACCTTATCGTCTTCATTTAATAACTTAATCATGTCGTCAATATTACGAATGTACAAAAAAATTACGTTTTAATAATGCTAACGAGGAGTACTATCTATTTGCAATTCATTTTAACCTCTGAAAGTCTATTAATTAATAATATCAATATTCAAATTGTATAATAACAATAATAAATTATGGTACGCCACAAAAAAAATTTACGAACATTTATTTGGATGTTTCATATTGTGCAAAAACGGTATCTATATGCATCTGAATTTTAGTGAGAATAGCCCTTACGGTTATTAGGGATCGTTCAAGTATTGCATAAGCAGATTTATTACAATTATTTACTTCTTCAACCCCCTTGTAAGCAAAAGTGAGCAAAGCTCTTACCCCCTACCCCATGCTTACGTAAACATTTTGCAATTAATGTATTGTTTTTTTAAATATTGTAATTATTAGGTTATAATTATGATGTTAAAAATAAGAGAATAGATTTGGGATGTAGAGATTTTACTGATATGGTATTCAACATAGAGTAACAAAATTATTATAATCTTACGAACATGGCAAACTTATTTTAAATTTTTGGTACTGGCAAAGATAATGTAAGGTTGCCATTCGGTAAAAAAATAAAAATACTACCAATGACGTAATCATCAACCAGACTCCCCTGACCCCCATGTCAACCCAAAATAAGCAAATCAATAACCCCCCCCCCCTATAGTGCTTACGTAATACTTGAACGGCCCCTTAAAAATTAAGTTAATTTTTTTAATTTAATTCAGATATCGATTCGATTTACTGCGATAAATTTTTCAGATCTAAACAACACGATTTTTAAACAATATTTTTAAAATATTTTCAATATTGATTCAAGATTATGAGCTAAAACGTGATCGAAATATTTTACACTGTTTTCCTCATTACAGAGAAACGGCTTGGCTGATCCTTGCATTAAATGACAGACGCTAGTCCTTAGCTATTTTATAGCTTTTACATTTTTAAAATCGGTCTAAACGGTTTTGAGGAAACGTCGACGAAAGATCAAAAATCGGATCAAATACACTTACATGTGCTCACACTAACACACACACAAATACTTTTTCCAAACTTGGTCTCATTCGATTCAGAATTACTTGAAACATAAAATTAGAAAAAGGGTTTTTTTACGAAAACATGTTCTTCTCCTTCGGGTAGTTAATAAATTGTTTTTATTTGAATATTAAACATATCTCCCGTTTTACACGGTACTTACACGTTTTCAATCGTACACGGTTTTGAAAAAAAATTTTAAACTAAATTCAATAATTTTGCATTTACACGAAGTTATTAACACTAAACTATAATTTTTTATGCCTACAATAACATTTTCATTGCTTCACAGTCAAAATACAAAACTACAGAATGTATGTTACGATTTCTTATTATTAGTACCTACATCTATGTCTATGATGAAAACTCCCCATTTTATGGTCAAAACTGAACATGTATGTATAAGGGGGCGCCCATGCATCACGTGATCATTTTTTTGAAAATTTTTGGATCTTCCATCCCCTTATTGAGTTTCAAAATTACGCCCTCTCACCCACCAAATATCATGTGTATATTTCAGGTAAAAAATTATGTAGAAAATAAATACACGTGATTTCTTACGATACCCCTTTTTCCACCACGTGATATTTCGTGATTTTTTATCAAAATCTTTTCCCCCTAATTAACTCACGTGATTAATGGACGTCCCCTAAGATAGTTTAAAACAAAAAGCATCATTGTTTTAAATGTTGTTTTAAATGAGTGATATGATTGATAGCGTAAATTTATTCAAGGTGAGCAAATAAAAGAATTATTTTATACAAAATTTCTAATTTATATAACATTTTATAGTTTGACAATGGCAAAGAATAAAAATAAAATACTAGAGTAAAAGAAAGGCTATATAATTACAAACCAAAATTTAAATTTTTAACCTTCTCCATAATAATGAAAGAATACTATATGTTGCTAATTTTTATTCTATGATTGAAGACATAATTCATTAAATGTGTTTGATATAAAATATATCAATATTTTAATTTTTTTCAATATCAATATTTTAATCAATATTTTTTGATCAATGGGTTTGTTTGTTAGTCATATTGAAAACTGAAAAACTGAATTTTTAGAGCTACACAGTTTTTTATGGAATATATCTTCCGTGTATTTAGTTACAGCCAGTTGTGTTGCGCTAATATTTTTTTTGTCGGAACGCTAAAATTTAAAATCCGGTTCATAAACCGGTTCAAAAAATTTGATATATTTCGATAAGAACTCACTAATCTAATATATTGACTTCTTATATAGTTAACTCTATTATATACATCTAGTCTATACATTAAATTGTACAAGTATGAGGGAATCATTGAGTACATAATTTATATTCTTCAATGACATTAATTATATTTATTCTGGTATTATTTGTATTCATTAATACCACAGGTTTATTATGATATAAAAGTACTCAAGATTTATTACAATACTTTATAAGACTTAACCTGATAATATGATAGATAACCTATTACCTATCATACTATATTATATCATTGTATACCATAGATAGGTATCTATTATCTATCATACTGTGAGATACCTATACTATCATTAACTTATTATATACCTATATACCTTTTACTTCTTATAAATACTACTGTCTAATTTATATATTAACCTATATTATATATGTTACCTTGCGCCCTATGTATTATCTCTACCTATCTATTGTCTATACCGGGAATTGAACCCGGGACCTCCGCGTAGCGGTCGCGCACCTTAACCTCTACTCTATCGGGTACCCCCATTAATAAAATAATATGGGACGCACTGTTGTTTCCGCGGGTCATTTTCTAATTAATTAGATAATTAATACTAAGGTGGCGCAACGACACGCGGAAAAAAACGGTTGATTGTAGCGTTACGGTGGTGTAGTGGATAAGGTAGCCGCGTGCCACGCGGCGGACCCGGGTTCGATTCTCGGTAGGGTTAATGTAGCGTGTGAGGGAAATTATAGGTAATAAAATATATAGTAGATATAGGTTAGGTGTATTCGGTATACAATGTAGGGTATTGAGAGTATATGATGAAATATAGCGTATGGTATAGGTTAAGGCGTGTAGTATAGAATGCAACGTACAGGCATACGTAAGGCTATAAAAATACACGAATAGGAACCTATGATGTAGGTCTTAGCGTATAAGAAATGCGGATGTATATAAGATTTAATTTATAAATATTATTTTCTATAAGAATTTTTATCTTGGTATTAAATATCTAAAATATCCGTTAAGGCGTCGATTACACCTTACTGCCACCTTGCTTTTTGTTTGATATTTAATTTTTATTTTTTTCTTTTGATTTGTAATAGACAAAAACACGTTATATTTTTTAACACACGTTATATTTTATAATCAAATAATTGATTAATCTAAAATACTATTCTAATAAGCCAAAAGATGGGTCAACTTTGCTTTGCTTCGCATCATTATATTTGCATTATTCTAGGTGAGCAAATAACCGAATTATTTTTTACAAAATCTCTAATTTATATAAAGTTCTATAGTTTGACAATGGCAAAAAATAAATATAAAAAAACTAATGAGGCTAAAACAGAGGCTATATAATTACAAAGCAAAATTGAAATTTTGAGGCTCCTCCATAATAATGAAAGAATAATAAATGGTGCTAATTTTAATTCTATAATTGAAGATATAACATATTAAATGTGTTGGATATTAAATATATTAATATTTATTTTTCGATCAATGGGTTTGTTATTCATCATATTGAAAATTGACAAAAGGGGCTCTTTTATAGTGATTTTGGTTTAGCACTGTTTTTCCGTATGAGTGAATTTTTCGAGTTTATGGAACGTATCTTCCGTGTATGTATTTACAGATTTCTTTCTTACTTTCTTGAATGCAAAACAATCGAATTGCATTTTTAACTTCCCGTAGGGTAGTTATAGTAATGGGCCGAAAATCTAAAATGAAAATTTTGCATTTCTCGACATTTTGAAGGTTTCTGAACATTTTGGTATACCCCAAAAAAATGGATGTGTGTGTGTTTTGTGTGTCCGCATTTTTTCGATTCGGGCGCACGGAGCATCCGATTTGAATGATCTAAAAAAACATTCAATTAGCATTGATTGGGAGAAATGGCTATTAGTTTTTTTCTACTGAGTTGTTTTTCCAACATGCCCCTTAGTATACAATGTCCCTTTACTGCCGACTATTGTAAATTCCTCAAATTTATTAAATGTCCTTAACTAGACAGTTGTAAATAAAAGAGATAATAAAAAAAAAGTTTTTGGCAAAGGCAGGCCCAGCCATTTCGAAGATACAGAGCTAAATATACAAAAAATAGCAGTTTTTGTGAGCAATTAGCATCCGAATTGAATGTTTTTTGAATTTCCAAAACAATTGCTTTTGGAAAAAAAAATTATTTCAATTTTTTTTCAATATTTTTTTGTATATCGAAAATAATTGAGATTTCAATTTTAATTCTGGCTAAAGTTTATACCTTCACTTATATACTTTAAATAAATATTTTTGACTTTGTGATTCACTTTATATAATTCTTATAAATATTATACAATGTTACAGTATTTATAATAATCTATTTGAAAACATTTAATATTTCTCGAACGTTTCGTTACTGTACGGGAAGTTTTAGCAATTTGCCTTAAGGGCACGATGCCATACAGCACTAGTACTATATATTTTTTTAACTAGAATGATTGAACTTCTTTTATTTTGATGAGAAAAAAATGTAATAGACGAAAACACGTTATTCGTTCAGAATAAATATTAATTTTCAAAACATGATGCTATAGTCAAATAATTTATCATATATTATTTTTTAATTTATTAGACGCCAATCGGCGATATACTATATTAATCTAAAATATTATTCTAAAAAAGCAAAAGGGTCAACCTTGCTTCTGTGGTATTTTTGAGAATGAATTCTCGGTTTATTGATCTTTCGATCTTCATTAACTTCACATTGTTTAAGCTTT